TCACCTCTAATCAAGGAGGCAGATGTCTTGGGTCTACATGGATCATGCCCTGAAATTATATATAAAATATGTAGAAATGTGACATTTTCCTGAGGAGAGGGTCCATTTTCATGAGCTTCTTAAAAAGCCTGACAGCCCTCTATATGAGGGTAGGCCCATATGTTTCTCAAAAAAGCAAGCTCTGATTTATTCAAACATACCAGTATGTTTGAATTTGTATAGATAAAGTCACATTAGGAAAGTTCTAGAAGGATTATAGAACAGCCTTCTATCTTTAAAGTAATGTACAATGAGTACAGTAAGTTGTAGTCACAACATATAAATGCACAACTAAAGAGGATTTTCTGTAACTGTAAAATATGTGTAGTGAATTTTAGGAGATAATTGTCCATGGGAAAGTAAGTTTAAGGGAAACTGACAGAATTTTAATGCTATTTTTCATATCTAATATAAAATTGTTTTTGTTTTTGGGAAAGTATATTTTATGGTGCTTTTTCTTCTCACCAAATAAGGCTGCAACTTGATTTCTGTAGGGTTTTGCTAGGTATTGTTTAAAAATAATCCTGGGATATTAAAGTTTGGCTCATGCCTTAAAGCCTCAGGCATGATGGGCTTCTGTTTACTCTTCCCTCCAAATTCTTAGCGACATTGACATCTGCTCTGCTTAGTACAGTATGTGCTGATAGATTTGGGGGCAGATGTTGAAGTACCACCCAGAACAGATCTTTCAGAATTAATATAAATATGGCCAGTATAACATGTTGCACCCCAGGGAAACCATGACCGAGCAAGTTTTATGGGGAAACAAAGCAGCCACCTTCTGAGATGGGTGTGAGATCCTTGAAAGTTGCTGTGACTCATTTAGGGCGTAGAGTACAGAAGTGGGGGAGAGTTGAGCACATCGTGGAGGTGGTGCATATGTGTTTCCATGCAGCAGTTGATCACCCTGTTAAGGCCCATCAGGATTGTCAAAGAACCTCATGTGTTAGAAGTTTAGCATCTTCCAGGGGAGCCCAGCTTGGCCACCATATAGAAGCAGACAGTTGGTCTTAAATGTAGAATATAGAATTCATTTTGACTCTTAATCCATACTCCAGAGTTGGCATGTATCACCACACCCAGGGTAGCCACCTCAGTAAGTAAGTAGCTGAGGTTATTCTTTGCGTGTTTTTCTTCTGCCTTTTCAGCTTAGGCCCTGGGTGGTTGTAAAAAGGGTGTTGGGGCAGCATCTGACCTCCTTTAACTTCACAAGGGGGAGAAGGATCAAGAGAATATTAACAGCCCAAGGCTTTAAGGCAGAGGTCAGACATGCCACCACTCTCCAACCTTTTTACCAATTTTGACACAACTCTACACCCCACAGGACTCTGCTTCACTACTGAGTTCAAAAATCCATTGCAGTGGCCACACAGAACTCACAGATAATACTCAAGATTATGGAATTTATTAGGGCATTACCAGGTTACAGTTCAGGATCAGGAACAACTCAGAGTCAGGGCAGCCTCTTCTCAGCAACGCCTCTTTCTTTCTCTCTGGCCCTTGGCCTCTCAGTTCCCTGGCCTCTTGGCCTCTGCCCTGCTCAGGCAAGTGTCACAAAGCTCTTTTAGCTTTGCCAGTAAGCAAAAGCACCCCACTCCACCAATAAACCTCAGCCCGAAGGCATGTAGCTTTTTGCTGGCAGGTCTGTTGCTGCCGTTTCTCTGCTGTTGCTTCTTATTGCCTCTTGCTGTCCCAGCAAAGCGTTAAAGCTCTCCCTCTCTTTCTCTGTCTCCTGGGTCAGGGAGGTTCAGTTAAGGGATCTTGGGTCCAAGGAATACACTCCACTCCTGGTTCTTCTTTCTTGATGGTAGTGAGATTCCCCTTTCTGCCTCTGGGCTGGCTCATTTTAAGCCTACCTAGCAGGATGGCAAAACTGACCAATCCCCATGTTAGAGTTCCATACACCTTATTTGCATGGTCCCATCCTCACAAGGGTGCTGTGAACCTTATTTGCAGTATTAGCAAGCTGTCCAATCCCCTGGGTGGGCCGCAAGCACCTCGCATTTGCATAATCCCAGTTGTTTGGTGGGAATTACAAAGACCATGGCTAGAAGGGTTATATTGAGTAATTCACTGCACCACAGATGTCTTTGTCCACTTACCTTAACTTGGGTCTGTGTTCTGAGGGATATTCATGCTGTCCTTCCACCTTGTAGTTATATAGCACATTCCTAGGATTGCAACTTGATTTGGTTTCCCTGTTGGGGCCATCGATAACAATGTGTTACAGGCTGCGGACAACTGGGATCCCTGGGACTCATAATATAATTTTGTTGATGTATTACTGCTTCCTAAAACATAAGATGATTCTGTATTCTGAAACAATCTTTCACATAGAAGACACTAAGAAAACAGATGGTGATTATGGGGTGTGTATGGTGTTTTCTGGGAGCTCTGGTGGTATACTGCCTAAGGCACTTGACTGCTAACCAGAAGGCTGGCGGTTCAAACCCACTAACCACTCCTCCGACAGAAGGTTGGGCAATCTACTTCCGTAGTGATACTGCCTCGGAAACCCAAGGAGGGGTCACTATGAGTCAGAATCAACAGCAGTGAGTTTGGGTTTTTTTAATGATGTTTTCCAGAATTATGCTTTTTTGATATGAAAAAGTAGAGACTCTCATTTTAATTAATTATAGGAGCATGTTTTAAAAATCCTTTTGCTCTTAGATGTCTTTTTTGAAATATACTATTTGGAAATAATTTGAAGCTTTCAGAAAAGTAGTAGGAATAGTACAAAGGACTCCCCATAAAGCAACCTAAATAACCCAAAACTCAGATTTACTGAGTAAATTTCCTGGGGCTCCTTTGTAGTCCCACTCTCCTGCTCCCCCTCTCACCCTCCACTTTTTGTTAAGATAGATGAGTTTGTACTTATTTTCTAGAGTTTTATATTAATGGAATGATACAGCGTATAGTCTTCTTGTTTGGTTGTTCTGGCTTCATTTACTTTGCATGATTTATTTGAGATTTCATCCATGTTGTGTGTATCCGTGTGTATTGCTTTATACTGCTGAGTAGTAGTCCATTGTATGGATATACCACAGTGTATTTATGGACAGTTGGGTTGTTCAGCTTTTGATTATTATGAGAGAAGCTGCTGTGAACATTTGAGTTCAAGTCTTTGTGTGGACATGTGCATTTCATTTCCTTGGGTAAATACCTGGAATGGAATAACTGGATCATATGGTAGATATGTGTTTGACTGTTAAGGACCTACCAAACTGTTTTCCAAAGTGTTTAAATATTATTTTACTTTCTCATTAGGAGTAGCTGAGAGTTCCAATTTCTCCACATCCTTGCCATCACTTAGTATGGTCAGTTCTTTTATTTTTAGGTATTCTAGAGGTGCTTCTGGGAGCTCTGGTAGCATAGTGGCTAAGGTACTTGACTGCTAACCAGAAGGCTGGCGGTTCATATCCACCAGCCACTCCTCGGAAGGAAGATGGGGCAATCTACTTCCGTAGTGATACTGCCTTGGAAACCCAAGGAGGGGTCGCTATGAGTCAGGTCCGACTCGACAGCACATAACAACAACAACAACAACAAAGAGGTGCTTCTAAGGTGCATTCTGGCTGTATTTTATCCAAGACATTTGTTGTTCTTCTGGCAGTCTATGGTATATTCATTATTGTTCACCAACACCATAATTCAAATGCATCACTTCTTTAGTCTTCCTTATGCATTGTCCAGCTTTTGCATGCATAGGAGGCTATTGAAAATTCCATGGTTTGGGTATTAGTCCTCACCGAAGCTCTGGTGGCATAGTGCCTGAGGCATTTGACTGCTAAGCAGAAGGCTGGCGGTTCAAACCCACCAGCCGCTCCTTGGAAGAGTGGGCAATCTACTCAGAAACCCAAGGAGGGGTCACTGTGAGTTGGAATTGACTCGGCTGCAGTGAGTTTGTTTTTTTTTTTTTTAAGTCCTGCCACAGAGCAGAGGCCCACAGTCCTTCCAACCCCCAGTGCACCACACTGAGTATAGTTGGCATTGTGGTTATAAGATGTTCCATCGATGCTTCAGACA